CGCTACCAAACCGAAACTGACGTCACAATCGAAGAAATTCTACCGAATCGAACAGTTCGTTCCTTACAGAATAAGGCCCCAGGCCAGGACTCAAACTTTGATATTACCATATAGCTTGATTTTTTCACATTTGAACTCTGTTTGTGGTATTAACAGAGCCAATCGCTTATTTTCTGTAAGTCTTCTTCAATGATGATTTTTAAGTTAGCAGGGCTGGGACTCTGTAACGGATAGAGATCGTTATCCCTATCGCTATGGCACTTGCTGTCTTCTTCTCTCTTCTCGAAATCAGTAGAGAGGAAACTTCAATAGAGATAAAGAAAATATCTCTCTTCGTTACAGAATCCCAGCCCAGGGTCCTTGTCAAAATAAGTGATGCAAGTGTCATCTGCATATAAATTGAGAGAGCCCTGAAGATGTATGTATGAGAGTGAGTTCATGTAGACTAAGAAGAGTATCGGTCCCAGAATTGAGCCTTGGGGCACTCCGTGTACAATGTTTTCCATTTTACTTCTGGTACCTTCACATTCAACATACTGTAGTCTACGCGACAGATAGTCTCTAAACCACAGTAGTGCTGAACCTGCAATACCCAGTTTTTTCAAGCACCTCCACGAGAATTTTGTGATTTACTGCGTCAAAAGCTCTTCTCAAGTCCAGCGAGACAAGTACACACTTACCTATATCTCTTATCAACCTTTTCATAAATATTCGTAATTAGGCCTGTAGTTGCTGAGGAGGTATTGCTTTGTTTTCTGAATCCATATTGACCCGCATACCAAAAATTTATTCCATCCAAATAACTGGTTAATCTCCTATTTACACAGGTTTCCAATACCTTAGACATAGCTGGGAGCAGGGAAATGGGCCTGTAGTTGTTTAGTTCTGTGCTATCACCACCCTTAAATAAAGGGACAACCTTGGCCATTTTAAACGAACTTGCTACAGATGCAGTATTAAAAACAAGATTTATCAACTAACATAAAATAGGCGATATTTCATTTTTCAATTCCTTGATTGTATCAATGCCCAAGCTGTCAGTTCCAGGTGATTTTCCTGGTTTTAATTTGTTTATAACTGCAGTGACCTCCTCTGTAGTCATAGGTTCCCATTGATTTATATATAGGCAGTAGAAGTTGGTTGGAGTTGAGGGAAAAAAATTGTTGGGGGGATGTTTTTTGCTAGTTCTGCTGCAATTTTGGAAAAGTATTGGTTTAGCAAGTTGGCAACATCCTGTGAGTTCTGCACAGTGTGTTCTTCATGTACTAACTTGGGTAACAAACGGTCTTTCCTGGGTTTGGGGTTGCTGATTATAGTGTTCAGTGTTCTCCATATCTATTTAACATCATTCCCTGCTTTACTTATTTCGGTATTATAATAAGCCTTTTTTGAGTCAATTTGATTTGATTTTCTATATTCTTTTTGGGTTGATTTGTAAAGTTCAAGTAAATGAGCACTGTGTAGAAACATTTTATGTCGTTGATAGTGGAAGTCCCGCCTCCTCATCAATTCAAAGTGTCTCACATTATACCAAGGAGCACTCTTAGAACGAAATCTATTTCTATAGTGTCTACTATGCACATTATTATTGTAAGAACGTATTATTTGATAACATAATAAATTGGGATTAGACCAGTTTAAGGTTTCAATTTTAGCTAAATTTGCCTTAAGAGCTTCTTTATTTAAAGTATAACTATTGCATTTTGCGTTAATTCTTTTTAAGTTTATGCTCAAGTATTGCAGTCTGTGGTCTGAAATTGCGCTGTCTATTAGAGACAAACTTAAGTCATAATTACTATTATTAGTTAATGCATAATCAATCAAGGTATGAGAATGTTGAGTTACTCTTGATGGTACATGATTATTGATTATGATAAATCCATTTGACTAAATTGTGAGCTGAAGTATTTGCTGCTGTGGACTCGAATTTAAAATATTGAGGTTAAAATCTTCAAATATCCAGGCTGTCTTTTTTTATTAGAAATAATATTCAATTTCTCATCACAGGTTTGCAAAAATAAATTGTAATCAAAGTTTGGTGGTCTTTATATTATTTCTATAATAATATCACATTCTTCCTCTCTTATCTCTACTAACATAAATTGATTTGTACCCATCAAAACTAAAATGGGCAGCTTCGTCTGGAGATAGCCAGGTTTCAGTTATAACAATAGCATCTGGAAGATTTAAACTATTTACCAATGCTTCTATATCATTTACCTTATTTCTAATGGACTGAGCATTCAAATATGAAATAGAAAAATTTTGTTTTAGAGATTTAGAGACTCTGGACTGTTGCTATGTTGATTTGGAATAGCAAAATGCTTTATTTCTTTGGTAAATACAGCTATTTTAAAAGTTTTCTAGCGAATGTTCATTGTTAATGAGAACTACTGAGGAGTCCTCACTTTTCCCTAGATAGACTACCATTTTTATTCCAAAAGAAATTATAGCTTTTTTCTCTTTTGGTTTTGTAGGCTAAACTAAATAAATACCTGTTTCTATGGGGCAACTCTTCATTAACATAAATTTTACTTTTAGTATTTTCTGGTTTCGAGGTGTTGCATTTCAACATTTTAGAATCAATGCTGCGATGTTTCCTACTGGCCAATAAGCCATTTTTTAATTCAATATTTAGAAGCTTCGCAGAAATAATTGTCTCTTTCTTAGTTTCTTTTTTGATGCATTGTAGAATCTCATGATCTTCTATTTTATAGTTTAATAGATCATTACTTATTTCTTTTAAAATATCCTTTGGGTTCTCATCTTTCACCTGTGTACCTTGAATTATGTTTGAGGCTACCTCTTTCATTTCAAGATATGAAACTCTTTCTTCCATTTTAGTGAGCTCGCTTTTAAGCACTGATTTTTCCTTTTTCACCACTTTTAGCTCGTCCAAAACCCTTTTGTTTTCTTGAGTTAGTTCATCGAATTTGTGAGCGGAGTGTTGAAGTACCATAATTGTTTTTGTGAGCTGATCGAAAGAGTCCCTGGACCCACCAAAATTAACAGAAGAAGCACTGGAATCACCTTCAACGGCGGCAACATGCGTGAGAGATGATGATTTAGCCTCACTTTTCAAACAACCCAAGGGCACTTAACTAGTCCACTTCTCATTGCATTAGATTTTTTGGCGCAACTCTCGTGGTAAAAACTGGCCTTGCAACTGTTACATGACACATAATTAACAACAACTTTTTTACAATAAAAACAATATTTTTCCTGAGGACTCATTCTTTACAATTTGAGGTTAGGTTTAGTAATTTATTAGACTATCCAAGATGCTGTCAAACTTGAATAAAAATGTCCGCCAAGAGGCACACAAACACTTTGTTTTCTTGTCAAAGTCATGTGTTTTGGATAGGCGACTAAAGCCTAGTATTCATAACCGCGAAATTCGCTCTTTTTTGACATTGCTTCGACAATTTGACGTTTGATTCACGCATAATATGTCAAATTGTCCAAGCAATGTCAAAAAAGTGCGAATTTTGCTGTTATGAGTACTAGGCTTAACCAAGGTGCTGTCAAACCTCGCCTCCTGATTAAAAGTTACCATTGCACCAATTCTGAAAAATTACTCCTTTTTGAGAAAATTAATTTCATAGGTAGCAAGTAAAACGCTTGGACATTGTAATGGACATTCAATGTAGCACGAATAGGTAAGCTTGTGGCGCAGTGGTGTGCTACGTGGAGTAATTTTTCAGGATTGGTGCAATGGTAACTTTTAATCAAAATGGCGCGATTTATATTATATACAAAATTCAGCCAATTCTGACATAAACACAATTTCCGTACACTTTGGGCAGGGTCCTTTATCTTGTAACGACAGCATTGAAAACATTCATGGGCGATGCTTACTGACAGTTTGCAAACTGTCAGAGACTCCTGTGGGAACAGACCTATAGTTGGCTATAAACATCAGACACCTTTCGGCTATTCGGATCTATGGACTAATGTATCTCAGATACTCGTAAAGTCTCTGTTTTTTTTAAAGATAATTCCCCAAGTCAAAAATTTAGTAACTATGTTGGCAACACAAGCCTTTTCTACATAAAAAAATTGAAACCATTGACAATTTTACATTGTATTGCCAACATAATGTCATTTTGACTTTTATCTTAAAAAAAAAACAGACTTTATCTCGTTTACAAGTATTAGACTATCCAAAACACGTGACTTTGACAAGCAAAATATGGCCGACAAGAGGCACACAAACATTGACACAAACACAAACCATAACGTCATTATGTTATGTCATTAATAATCATAATTCAATACTTATTTTCTATTGTGTGCGTCCCAATTTTTGCCAGTTTCTACCCAATTACGCAATCCTTATCGTTTGGGCAAGGTTGCTCGATCTGCATTTCACTTGGACACGCAGGATCTACCCTTGATATGAAAATATTTATCTATTTCAACTCCACCGTACAGTGTTGTGTTTTGATTTGTATTGTTTTTTTCACTTGGAATTTGAAAAAAATTAAGAATGTGCCGATCTCCACGACTTCCACATTTTTAATGCTACAACACGTTGTAGGCATGTTTTTCGCGTTTTTGAGAACTATTTACTACTATTTACATACCCTATTCAAATACACTATTTCTAACATTAGTGAAAATAACAGTTTTAAGTATCAGAACGCAAATAATTCACAATGAGCCCTATTTTAAGCTCATACATTATTTGATGACAAATTTGATGACACATAAACAAAGGGTTTGTGTGCCTCTTGGCGGCCATTTTAATTCAAGTTTGACAGCATCTTGGATAGTCTAATTCTTTAGTAATGGCACTAAGATTTCTTGAGATAAAACGAGACGGAAATTAAAATTAAAATTTAATCTAGTCTGGTTGACGACATTTTGCATAATCAATTTGCAAAAAGTTCCGGCTAGCACCAGAGTTGAATCACACTTGAGATAATTTTATGCTTTATCTGGTTTAAATTAAACAATATTTGTGATAATAGACTTGGAATAAGCGATCCTATACTTACTCTAAAAGTAATCTCACTATCGGTTTCGTCATACTGCTCTGGTTCATATTTCTTTTCTTCTAGTGGCTCGCTTAATATTTGTTTGACTTTTAATGAACAAGATCTGGAAGCATTCTTGGAAGATTGTCTGAGCTTGTGTTGGAATTGGAAGAGTAATTTGCAGGAACACTGTAAAAGAAAAAAAGACAAATTAAACCGTGAATAAAATTTTAGGAAAATGTATAATTTTTTTTACGAAACTTTTAGCCTCAATCGGTCCATAAATAAAGGAAATGTAACACCCTCTATTAATTCTTCAGGAACCGATTTTACTAAATAAATTAGGTAGGTAATAATAATTAAATTCCTATCCAGTTGGTTAATTCGTAGCTGTCATTTTTTCCAAGCCCGTGACGATTTTTTATAACATACTCATTTATGTAACCAGCTATACTCTGACGTTTTGTTTTTTTTACATAACCACACTTTTAACATTGTTTTTTTTTCACAAAATATCATTTTTTGAAGAAAAAAATATTATCCAGTTTTGTAGTACCTAATTTATTAATTATTGTTTCATCAATGGCTGAAAAACAACCTAATGATAATAAGGTATTAAAAGCTTAACAATTTCTATCAATATTCTCTCAAAATATTTGTTCCTTTCCAATCCCAATTTGCATGTCCATAGAACCCCTTATTCAACTGAAATTATCCCTTTATAGAGCCTAATGATCTATGGCAGAGACGTATCAAAGATCCCATGCTTCCGAAACAGTTTTCTATATGGTACTCTGAGTGGTTTAGGTATCGGTTTAGCCCATTTCATGTTCACAAGCAGAGTGGGCAAGTCTGTTAATTATTCAGTGTATTCTTTTTCGATGTTTTCTGTTTCTTATTGGATCTATTGCAGGTATGTTTCAAGAAATCTATGTAAGTATAATGATTTTTTTCTAATTGTACATTCTATACAGATATAATTTTTCCAAAACAAAATTTGAAATGCTAAGAATGCAAGAAACTTTGACGGAAAAAGCACTGAAAGAAGGGACAGCAGATGATCCCTCCAGGCAAACAGAAGTAGAAGAAGTTGAAGCTTGAGACGTGATCAGAAGTATTGATTTTGTTTATTTGATAAAAAATACTAAGTAATTAATTAAACTTAATTTTTCTGAGATTGACAAGAAATGTCAGCATTTTTGACCGGTTGACAGGTCGCAAAACCCAATATTCTGGTATTTTAATTATGTTTCAATAGTTGCTAAGGAATCAATGAATAACAATACGAGAATCACTTTTCCGGCCTAGGCCGGGAAAGTGATTCTCGTACTGCTGAACAATTGGAACAAAAATATAAACGTTTAACAGATATTTAAAACAGATCTCAGAAAAAATAGTATGTGTATTTTGGTGGAAAAGCACATTCTCGGCCTTCGACGTTTGCCGGCCTCGGCTACGCCTCGCCCGTCAACTTACACTGTCGGCCGAGAATGTGCCACTTTTCCACCTAAATACACAATATACTATTTCTGTTGAATTTATTTATGCTGCGTGTCTCTGATCTCTCTATAGCAAAATATTTGGCTCCAAAGTTGATCTGAAAATTTGTTTAGTGGTAGGCATGGGGTAACATGGGAGCTCTCTGCATGAAAACCACCCCTATCAGAATTGAGATGTGTGTCCCCATTCTCATTGTAAAATTTGACAATAAAGTGCTTCAAGAGTGCACCTTATATCTATTGGAAGAGATTTGATGCCCAATTGCTGCAGTAGTAAGTAAGTAAGAATGATAGTCTGTTACGGCATGATATCCTGAAAAAGAACTTTCCATCAGATTTGACAGGCAGTGAAAGCCTTCATTGTGACTCTATTGAGGGAGAACATATAGGTTACGCAAGAAGAAAGTTTGCCACTGGAAATCGAACGTCGATCCATGATTTCTGAAAACTCGGATTCCATAAATTCTCTATCATTGGAGTACTCATTATATATCTTTAAATCCTACTAATCTAGCAGAAAGACACGGAAATAAGTGTAGAGGGTTTGTAATAATTCCCAAGGAGATTTCATACGAAAACAGCATTGCCAATAATGAAGCAGGTATACGCACGTTACCCCGTTAAACTTGTTACGATAAATTTATCATTTACGTAACATGTTCCATCTCTTCTTATTTTCATTATAAAGTTTTATTTTTCCATTTCAGAATCAGCAAAATAATAACTCCTAATAATCTAAAATATCCACAAAGTTCAAAGTAGTACAAGTACTGCCATCTATCCATCATGTGCGTAAAATGCAAATATCTTTTATTCATTTACCATTACTGTCATCTAGTACCTAGTAGGATTTATTTTTCAAAGTATGATTTTAATTATTTCGCATTTGACTATCATTTGTATTTTCATTGAAAGAAATTATATTTATCTCACTTTTAGCAAATGGATATATTTCTGTCTTTCTCTAACTTCTGATTCTGGAATAATAATTTTTTGGCTTGATGACCTAATTAACAGTTTTTCATTTTTGACATAACCTGTATTTAAATTATTATAATTTGTAAACGATTGAAATAATTCTAATGGATTTTTATCTATTATCTTTTATTCCACGCGGTTTTTCATTGTAAGACATGAAATATATTATATGATATTTTGGGTGTACTCGTCTGATTGGTTGAACTGGTTAAAATGCAGTTAGGTATAAAAAACACAGGATCGTTTTCCTGTGTGGTTTGGTTTCTAAAACGTTCTCTTTCCTCGACAGAAGTCTGGCAGGCAAGTCCGCTTTATTTTGAATAATTTTTGCTTTGTATTTTTGGATTCTCCCTTATAGATTTTTCAATATATTTTACTATCAATTTATATTATCATATCATTGTTAAGTTTTTACCTGATAAATCTTATCTTATCTATTCTTGAGATATAAATATTATATTTTAATTTTTTTATCTAATTGTTGGCTTCCATTTTGTGTGAGTCCTGATTGGTAGAGCCACGTTTATCTGAGGTAAGTCAATTCAGATTTTTGAACTAATAAATAAGGTACTGCTGCTCTGATTTTCAAAATCAATTGTTAGTGTGGGAATATTGGACCATTTGCTCTAAATAGATTCGGTGCAAACCAAATTTTTGTGTCCATCTCTATCAACTCTTTATTGAATCCAGGCAGAGGCCTGAATAGCCATTTTCTGTTTGACTCCGTCAATGATTATTTCGACTGAAGGATGTAATTTTTTAATAGAAATCCAGACAGATCGAAAATTGAGTAAAACAGTTTTAATTAAAACATCTCAAGGATTTGAGCTGCTGTCAGAAAAGCAGCATTTTGCTCAGTCATAACGAGCATTTTAATTTAATCTTGTTGTTATTATTTCAATTTTATTATTATCTTCCCATTATTCTCAATTATTTAATTGTATTTTTTTTTATATTAAAATATATATTTATTTTTTTTCAACTTGCAATAGCTGTTCATTCCTGACACTCACTTTTTGACAGAATTCAGGGATTTAATATTCCAAATATTGGTGAACCTGATACTGCCTTATTCTTTTCTGGGTACCTACGCCACATTTGGAGTCTGGATCAGCTGGAATGACGTCACCCCAGCAATTTATCCTCTTCCTGGATACAGGAAACCGGACGAAGAGCTCCAGTTCACGAAAGTGAAACCCCAACACCCATTGAAGAGCTCCGGATTGGAAAGGTACATGGTATCAGTAACATTGACTGTTACTATATGTTACTACTTATTTCTGGTTACTACACAACATTGTAAACGAAATAAAATTATTGTTTGTTGGATTTTGAGTGGTTTCATTTGCACATTAAGGGACTACACGTTATCCTAATTTTTTGAATTCCACGACCCTAGGTTATCTTGTCTTAAAGTAACAAATTCTCATTAATTTGTAACAAACTACAGAAAAAAATACCCACCGGATCAACAAGTAGGTACCTATATTATGACAGACAAAACGGCCAGTGCGGAACCTCACATCCGCCAGAGACCAGAACCATTGGAAGTTCGAACGGATATATGATCTAAGATGCGGACAAGAGCATTCTAATAATTCCTGCAGGTAAACGAAATGCAGCATCACTACCGCTGCATTTCGTTGGCTACGTCCTGCCAAATAGTCAAAACGCGATCCTACTGCTTTCATTCTACGAAAAAACTCAAAAAGTAATTCAAGCCCTGAAAACGAAAAATACTCAAGATCTGAAGCTCAAGAATCCAAATCCACAAGAAATAATAGAATCCCACACACGACTTAGTAAAATCCCTAACTAAAATAATTTTTAATAACCAGCACCATAATCCCCTTGGTTGGTTCCGCTATGTGGACCACCATGTTTGTTGTTTCAAACCATTAAGACACAAGAAATTCCGGGATTATCTCAACTCTACTGACTCCAAAACACAATTTGCCAAGGAGCTAGAAAACGAGAATGAGATTGCCTCTCTCGACAGTTTACTGGAAATATTTTATTCAGAAAAATTTATTTATTTATTTACGGCCAGGTCAATTAACAATAACAATAAAAAACAATTTACAATACAGTTTTACAACATACCCAAACTTAAGCACATAACAAGCAACCAAAGATGTCAATTCTCCGGTTCCTTGAGTTCGCAAACCTGAGGACCCTTGAGTTCGGCCCATTCTGGCCATAATTCGTATTATGGAATGGTACCATTAAACAGGTCAGAAACTCTCACCCTTCTTTCTTCTGCTCTCAAAGAAAGGAGACCCAAAAGATCTGGGCAGTCAATAAACCCTCTCAAAAGTTTGTAAAGGAAACAAATATCCGCCTGAAGTATCCTGCTTTGCAAGGTATGAACACTCAAGAAAGTCCTCATTTCATCATAAACTCATGATGAGCCAAGTCCAATCTGTGAGCAGCCATCCTTAGAAATCTATTCTGAACCCTTCCCAGAGCTGCACAGCATGTTGGGGTGACCAAACAACAGATGAGTATTCTAACGTGGATCACACCATCGCACAGTAAATACAATGTTAGTAATGGTCATCGACATATCAGGAGTAAACCTACATATTATAAAACACAAACATCTAACAGCCCATGATACAGTATAAGTAATATGGCCATTAAATGACATCTTGGAATCAAATTCCACTCCCAAATCTCGAATGCTTGCTACTTCCCTGATTGATGTGTTATTAATTGCGTAAGGGAATTACACTGTTTGGGCTAACCTAGAAAAGTTATCTTATAACATTTGGCAATATTGAGGTCCATTTCGTTCGAGCCACACCATTTATCAAAAGAATCGATATCATCTTGCAGCAGTTGTGAGTTTTCCAACGATAATACCTGACGATAAAGTTTAAGATCATCTGCAAATGACAAAAATGAGCTGTGAGCAATGAAACTACCCACATCGGATATTAACAGATTGAACAGGATCGGCTGACACTGAGACCCCTGAGATAAGCCAAAGGGAACATCAAAGACACGAGCCATAACACCGTCATACCTAACTGCCTGAGTTCTCCCAGCAAAAAAGTCAGCAAATGAACTCAGAATTGTACCTCCTACCCGCAAACAACCAAGCTTCCTGATAAGCAGGCCATGGTTAACCCTGTCAAAGGCTTTAGGAAAGGCGACTTCATACAGAATCAACCTGGAACCTCCTCTACATGCTGTAACCCCCTGCAGATTTAAAAGGTATAATACCTACAGTCCCAGCTTTTTCTGGTTATGAGACAATCCAGCAACTTAGGACTCTCAGACTGCGTGCAAACAGCTCTGTAATTTGTGACCTCTTCTCTTGACCCACTTTTAAATATTGGTTTCAAAAAGCTGAAATTCCACAAAACCGACTGAGAACCTGTCGACAATGAATGGTTAAAGAGATTTGCCAGAGGCGTAGTAAGGGTGTACAAGCATTTCTATTGGGATACAGTATACAGAAAACTAACACCTAAGGACAAGTATCTCGAAAAAGAATCGAGTAACCATCCTGGACAAAAGAGAAGAGTCCTGAAACAAAGCTATCTTCGAGAAGAAATGCAACATCTGAAATCAGCATTGGAGGGAAATGGCTATTCTCAATGGAAAATAACTAGAGCTGTGCATCCACAACATAATTAACTGAACAGAAAACTATCAGTACCAATTATATGTAATTTAATGATCTGCCAAGAAT